TATATTAACTTTGTCATTCCGTTTCTAACATCCTTAAATATTCGTCGTAGACCCCATAAAGTATATATATTCATAATCAGCATCAAATTCTATATATATATATATATATATATATATATATATATATATATATATATATATATATATATATATATATATATATATATATATATATATACTTTCAGAAACGTCGACAAAATATCCCTCCTAGATATGGCACAGTGAAATTCCAGCTAACTCGTAAAATTTATATTTAAATCTACTTGTTTATTATTTTACCTTTGGGATGCCTTTTATACACTCCACCTTGTAAAGGAGGGTATATTAACTTTGTCATTCCGTTTCTAACATCCTTAAATATTCGTCGTAGACCCCATAAAGTATATATATTCATAATCAGCATCAAATTCTTAGTCGCTTTAACGATGTCCGTCTGTCTGCCTGTCTCTAAAAACGGGTCCCTGTACGTGTTGCAGAACATGCCATGTATAGGTCCACTTTTTGGTATAGCCCCCATATAAAGGTACCTCCCGATATTCGGTATTTTGATTATTTTTGCCACATTTTTTCACGGATTTGTCTGAAAATTGGTATTTGTTGGTCATAATGGGTCCTAGTTCGTGTGGCGAAACATTGTATGTATGGGTCCACGTTTTGGTATAGTCCCCATATAACGGTATCTCCCAATATTCGGTATTTTGGTGATTTTTGACACATTTTTTTTACGAATTTCTCTGAAAATTGGTAGTTGTAGATCATAATGGGTCCCAGTTCGTGCGGCGAGTCATTAAAATTATAGGTCCACTTTTTGGTATAGCCCCCATATAATGGTACCTCCCGATATTCGGTAATTTGATGATTTTTGCCACATTTTTTCACGGATTTGTCCGAAAATTGGTATTTGTTGGTCATAATGGGTCCTAGTTCGTGTGGCGAAACATTGCATGTATGGGTCCACGATTTTGTATAGCCCCCATATAATGGTACCTCCCGATATTCGGTAATTTGATGATTTTTGCCACATTTTTTCACGGATTTGTCTGAAAATTGGTATTTCTAGGTCATAATGGGTTCTAGCTCCTTTCGCGAAACATTGCATGTGTAGGTCCACGATTTGGTATAGCCCCCATATAACGGTACCTCCCAATATTCGGTATTTTTATGGTTTTTGCCACATTTCTTCTAATGTTTCCTTTACCCTAAGGTGGAGTATTAAAAGTTTGGCCCGGCTAAACTTAATGTTTTTAATCGTTTTATTAACAAGACGTTTATAAACTATTTAAAATTCAATTTATGTACAATCTTTATTGATTTGTTTTAATTTTCAGTCGTTTGGTTTTTATGTGGCAAATTGAAATTATGTTTATGTGTTGTTTAAATATAATAATGAGTGTTATCTTTCTTGTATTTTTTGTGTGAAAATTCATGTAAATTTATATATGTTTTTTTTTTTTTTTTTTTTTGAAATTTATGTAGTTTTGATGTATGGTTTTCTGTGTAAAAATTATTATCTTTTTTGTAAATTGTGTAATGATTTTTTATGGCTGAACGTTCTTCATGTTGTATATTTGTTGAATAAATATTTTGATGATGTTTGTTGTGTGTTATGTTTGTTGTGTGAAAATGTTCTGTAATTATGTTTGTTAATTTAAATCTTCACTTATTATTGTCTTTAATTTTAACTTGTCACTGGGGAGCACTTTAAACTTTCGCGGGCACGATTTCAAGACGAACTGTGTTGATGCCTAATTTGCATCAGCTTGGCAACCAAATTTGCAAATCAATTTGTTGCTTATTTACTTCCAGTCAGTTAGTGCAACATATATTTAAAAATTTGCCGCAGTGGCCGTTAACTCCAACTGACAGTGAAGATCAAAAGTTTACGCACTAGTAAACATTTCTGGGCCCCGAGTGATAAGTGTAAATCTTCAATTCCACTTGCTCCATACAATTTTCGGCAGCCGCCATGTTCCGAATCTGTCCAGCGAACACAATTTCCAGTTGTGTGTTGAACGACAATGTTAATTTTCGGTAGCAGGCATGTTCCGGTTCGGTCAATCCAACCGCCACACACCCACTTTTGCGAATCGCGTTGTATGTGTCCGCCCCTAATTCCACATCTATAGGCGTGTTCCCCCTAGGATATTTTTGTAACAGATGGAAGTTAGAATATTTGCATGAACTCCATCGAAGAACCAAATGGAAATACCCAAAAAACAATGTTGAGGGAGATTTAGCAGTGATTATATATATATATATATATATATATATATATATATATATATATATATATATATATATATATATATATATATATATATATATCTATATGTATATATATATATATATATATATATATATATATATATATGTATATATACTTTCAGAAACGTCGACAAAATATCCCTCCTAGATATGGCACAGTGAAATTCCAGCTAACTCGTAAAATTTATATTTAAATCTACTTGTTTTATTATTTTACCTTTGGGATGCCTTTTATACACTCCACCTTGTAAAGGAGGGTATATTAACTTTGTCATTCCGTTTCTAACATCCTTAAATATTCGTCGTAGACCCCATAAAGTATATATATTCATAATCAGCATCAAATTCTTAGTCGCTTTAACGATGTCCGTCTGTCTGCCTGTCTCTAAAAACGGGTCCCTGTACGTGTGGCAGAACATGCCATGTATAGGTCCACTTTTTGGTATAGCCCCCATATAAAGGTACCTCCCGATATTCGGTATTTTGATTATTTTTGCCACATTTTTTCACGGATTTGTCTGAAAATTGGTATTTGTTGGTCATAATGGGTCCTAGTTCGTGTGGCGAAACATTGTATGTATGGGTCCACGTTTTGGTATAGTCCCCATATAACGGTATCTCCCAATATTCGGTATTTTGGTGATTTTTGACACATTTTTTTACGAATTTCTCTGAAAATTGGTAGTTGTAGATCATAATGGGTCCCAGTTCGTGCGGCGAGTCATTAAAATTACAGGTCCACTTTTTGGTATAGCCCCCATATAATGGTACCTCCCGATATTCGGTAATTTGATGATTTTAGCCACATTTTTTCACGGATTTGTCTAAAAATTGGTATTTATTGGTCATAATGGGTTCCAGCTCCGGTGGCGAAACATTGCATGTATGGGTCCACGATTTTGTATAGCCCCCATATAATGGTACCTCCCGATATTCGGTAATTTGATGATTTTTGCCACATTTTTTCACGGATTTGTCTGAAAATTGGTATTTCTAGGTCATAATGGGTTCTAGCTCCTTTCGCGAAACATTGCATGTGTAGGTCCACGATTTGGTATAGCCCCCATATAACGGTACCTCCCAATATTCGGTATTTTTATGGTTTTTGCCACATTTCTTCTAATGTTTCCTTTACCCTAAGGTGGAGGGTATTAAAAGTTTGGCCCGGCTAAACTTAATGTTTTTAATCGTTTTATTAACAAGACGTTTATAAACTATTTAAAATTCAATTTATGTACAATCTTTATTGATTTGTTTTAATTTTCAGTGGTTTTGGTTTTTATGTGGCAAATTGAAATTATGTTTATGTGTTGTTTAAATATAATAATGAGTGTTATCTTTCTTGTATTTTTTGTGTGAAAATTCATGTAAATTTATATATGTTTTTTTTTTGAAATTTATGTAGTTTTGATGTATGGTTTTCTGTGTAAAAATTATTATCTTTTTGTAAATTGTGTAATGATTTTTTATGGCTGAACGTTCTTCATGTTGTATATTTGTTGAATAAATATTTTGATGATGTTTGTTGTGTGTTATGTTTGTTGTGTGAAAATGTTCTGTAATTATGTTTGTTAATTTAAATCTTCACTTATTATTGTCTTTAATTTTAACTTGTCACTGGGGAGCACTTTAAACTTTCGCGGGCACGATTTCAAGACGAACTGTGTTGATGCCTAATTTGCATCAGCTTGGCAACCAAATTTGCAAATCAATTTGTTGCTTATTTACTTCCAGTCAGTTAGTGCAACATATATTTAAAAATTTGCCGCAGTGGCCGTTAACTCCAACTGACAGTGGAGATCAAAAGTTTACGCACTAGTAAACATTTCTGGGCCCCGAGTGATAAGTGTAAATCTTCAATTCCACTTGCTCCATACAATTTTCGGCAGCCGCCATGTTCCGAATCTGTCCAGCGAACACAATTCCCAGTTGTGTGTTGAACGACAATGTTAATTTTCGGCAGCAGGCATGTTCCGGTTCGGTCAATCCAACCGCCACACACCCACTTTTGCGAATCGCGTTGTATGTGTCCGCCCCTAATTCCACATCTATAGGCGTGTTCCCCCTTAGGATCTGGGCCGGCGATGGCGTAATTAGTGAAGCCCCGAGTGGAGTCTTCCAAATGAGCCTCCGAATAAAGTCGCCTGGGGAGTTTGTCTCTCACCACCGCATTTACCTGCAGAGACCAGCTGCTGCTAATTCTTCTGGGTTGTATAGTGAATGTGGTTTGGCGAAACATTGCATGTGTAGGTCCACGATTTGGTATAGCCCCCATATAACGGTACCTCCCGATATTCGGTATTTTTATGGTTTTTGCCACATTTCTTCTAATATTTCCTTACCCTAAGGTGGAGGGTATTAAAAGTTTGGCCCGGCCAAACTTAATGTTTTTTAATCGTTTTATTAACAAGATGTTTATTTACTATTTAAAATTCAATTTATGTATAATCTTTATTGATTTGTTTTAATTTTCAGTGGTTTTGGTTTTTATGTGGCAAATTGAAATTATGTTTAATAGATGTTGTTTATCTTTCTTGTATTTTTTGTGTGAAAATTCATGTAAATTTATATATGTTTTTTTTTTTCTTTTTTTTTTTAAATTTATGTAGTTTTGATGTATGGTTTTCTGTGTAAAAATTATTATATTTTTTGTAAATTGTGTAATGATTTTTTATGGCTGAACGTTCTTCATGTTGTATATTTGTTGAATAATATTGATGTTTGATGATGTTTGTTGTGTGAAAATGTTCTGTAATTATGTTTGTTAATTTAAATCTTCACTTATTATTGTCTTTAATTTTAACTTGTCACTGGGGAGCACTTTAAACTTTCGCGGGCACGATTTCAAGACGAACTGTGTTGATGCCTAATTTGCATCAGCTTGGCAACCAAATTTGCAAATCAATTTATTGCTTATTTACTTCCAGTCAGTTAGTGCAACATATATTTAAAAATTTGCCGCAGTGGCCGTTAACTCCAACTGACAATGGAGATCAAAAGTTTACGCATTAGTAAACATTTCTGGGCCCCGAGTGATAAGTGTAAATCTTCAATTCCACTTGCTCCATACAATTTTCGGCAGCTGCCATGTTCCGAATCTGTCCAGCGAACACAATTCCCAGCTGTGTGTTGAACGACAATGTTAATTTTCGGCAGCAGGCATGTTCCGGTTCGGTCAATCCAACCGCCACACACCCACTTTTGCGAATCGCGTTGTATGTGTCCGCCCCTAATTCCACATCTATAGGCGTGTTCCCCCTAGGATCTGGGCCGGCGATGGCGTAATTAGTGAAGCCCCGAGTGGAGTCTTCCAAAAGAGCCTCCGAATAAAGTCGCCTGGGGAGTTTGTCTCTCACCACCGCATTTACCTGCAGAGACCAGCTGCTGCTAATTCTTCTGGGTCGTATAGTGAATGTGGTTATGCGTTGCGGTGCTGCATATGCCGCATATGAAATGGTGGTCATAGTTGCCGACTGGCTCATCAGTGCCCGCACCATCACGAACCCTTCCATCCCTTCGGCCATTAATCTGATCATTACGGTGGGCACCAATATCAAATCCCATGCAAAGGCTGGTGCGTTTATAGCTTCCATCTGCTCGTGGCACCTCATCCAGCTGCGATGCCCCGTGCAGGGTCGTATGGTGCCTGCTGTCGCAACGTCTGCAGCCATCAAAACTGGGGCAATCGGGGGCAAGATGGCTCCTTGCCAGACAGTTTCGACAATAACCACGTCTTTCCACCGTCTCATACCTCTGAAACGGGGTCTGTCGCGGGACACAGGGCTCGAGTAAAGGCTGTGGTCTTGTTGGCATAGTCCACAGGAGTACAGCCATTTGCTGGGTCCTCGGTGGCTGGTTGGGACTGCGGGCTGTTGGATTTGGGGTTGGGCGGTTGGGGCTCCGGGCTGAGTTACTGGGAATGCGGCTCCGGTCTTCCATGCGTCAGTCCTGATTCGGTAGATAAGTAGCCATATCTGTAAAAAACAAGAAGCGAGTACTATGTTTTTAGGAGGAAATAAGCGGCTAGTCAGTCGGAGAATAGTTTAATAATTTTGGTAATGGGTCTGCATATATTGCCACCAGAAGTCCGTATATACTACCCGAGTATTTTAATCCGTGCCCTGAAATGATTTTTGAACGCGACCCAACTTCCATTCGTTTGGAGCGAGTCTGTCATTCTTAATCACTACTAAATCTCCCTCTTATATATATATATATATATATATATATATATATATATATATATATATATATATATATATATATTAATTTTTAATTGTTTTAGGGATTTTGAGTAAGAGTAATTATCTATATATATATATATATATATATATATATTTGAAGATGATAGATGAGTTCCGAAATAAAAAATAATTTTTCGAAAATAATATCGTCCCTACGAAATCTATTAAATTAGTGGATGTGGGTGCCGCACGATGACTTAGCTTTCAGGAAACTAAAGATGAATTTTCTTCGACTCCGCTACCCAAAAAAAAAAAAATATGCCACTCGTCTTGCGTAAAGAACTATGGAATTGATTTTAAAATTATTTAAAAATGATCGATGAGTTCCAAAATAAAAAATAAATTTTCGAAAAACATCATCCCTACAACGAATTAGCTTTCCGGAAACTAAAAAAAGAATTTTTTTCGACTCCTCTACTCAAAAATTATTATTCTACCCAAAACGTTAAATTCCAGGTGCGATGCAAGCAAATTTAGTGTAGTTGCAGCTCTTTCGAAAATTATCAGCCTGTGGCATATGTCTTCAAAGCTCTAACAAAATGTTAACAAAAACAAAATCTTATAATTGAAACAGACCATAAAACCCCTCGAGATTATTATTAAAAAGACATTCCACTCCGCTCCACATCGACTATTCTCTTCTAGGTATTGCCATAATCTCCATACGTCGTTTACATGAAAGACACTGAATAAAATTAGCAGATGCTCTCAGCAGATATTGCGAAAATGAACAACATCGTAGAAAATATAAGTACATGCAGTTAAAACCCATACAACGATGTCAATAAAAAACAAGTAAAAAAGCTGTAAGTTCGGCCGGGCCGAACTTTTAATACCCTCCACCAGTTGGTACAAATTTGGCAATTTCCAAAAAAATAAAATAAATAAAATAAAATAAATCCTTTAAAAATTCTGTTAAAATCTTAAAAATACCGAATGTCTATACGACGACGTATACCTGCATAGGCAACTTTTGTCATAAGTTATTACAACATTTAAATGCGAAACTTGAAGAAAAATTTGTTCATAATGTAGCTAAAATCATCAAAATACCGAATATAGGGGGTACCGTTATATGGGGGCTATACGAAGACGTGGACCTGCACAGACAATTTTCTGGCATGGGCTGAAGTATCCATTACGAACTTCAAATGCGAAATTTGAAACAATCCCGGTAAATAATGTCGCTAAAATCATCAAAATACCGAATATCGGGGGGTACGGTATATGGGGCCTATACGAAGACGTGGACCTGCACAGACAATTTTCTGGCATGGGCTGAAGTATCCATTACGAACTTCAAATGCGAAATTTGAAACAATCCCGGTAAATAATGTCGCTAAAATCATCAAAATACCGAATATCGGGGGGTACGGTATATGGGGCCTATACGAAGACGTGGACCTACATGGTCCATTTTCTGTTTCTGCTGCAGTATCTATTACGAACTTCAAATACCAAATTTGGAACGGTTCCGTGAAATAATGTCGCTAAAATCATCAAAATACCGAATATCGGGGGGTACCGTTATATGGGGCCTATACGAAGACGTGGACCTACATGGTCCATTTTCTGTTTTCTGCTGGAGTATCTATTACGAACTTCAAATACCAAATTTGGAACGGTTCCGTTAAATAATGTCGCTAAAATCATCAAAATACCGAATATCGGGGGGTGCGGTATATGGGGGCTATACGAAGACGTGGACCTGCACAGATAATTTTCTGTTAGGCTGTAGTATCCATTACGAACTTCAAATGCCAAATTTGAAACAATTCCGGTGAATAATGTCGCTAAAATCATCAAAATACCGAATATCGAGAGGTACCGCTATATGGGGGCTATATGAAAACTTGGACCTACATGACCCATTTACGAACTTAACCTGCCTACTGGCAAAATATACATGTGTGCAAAATTTTAGCCTTCTATCTCAATTTGTTCGAAAGATAGCGTGATTACAACAGACAGAGAGACAGACAGACGGACAGACAGACAGACACACAGACAGACAGACGGACATGGCTAAATCGTCTTAGAATTTTACGCTGATCAAGAATATATATACTTTGTTGGGTCTGACGTGAGTATTTCGAGGAGTTACAAACGGAATGACAAAATTAATATACCCTCCATAGTATGGTGGAGGGTATAATAAAAGAACACCAACAGGCGATACAAACTTACAAATGCTGATAAAAAATTATGTAGAATGGATGGCCGACATCATAACAAAATTACTACATGAAATTTTAGAAACTTTTGTATGACGATGGCATAATTTAAAATAACTAAATTACGTTACGTTGTTTTATAAAAACAACGATAAAAGGATTAATGCTGACCATTTTGCAAAAAAAAAAAATACTATGGTATACCGAACAAACAAGCCAAAATTGTTATATTAATAGACAAGACACGGTCGACAAAGGGGTTTTTGTTGTAACAGACAAACCAACTTACATGGTTATGCTACTTCGTTCATGTAAATAAAAGCATAACAAGTGGAGAAAAAAATGAAAATGTTTATGAGTGCAGTTGTAAGATTTAGAAGATTTCTCAAAGAATTTTAAAATCTGTTTCTTTTTCAGACGGGACTTGTAATGTTGTCTTTTCAAAATTGTATGTTTTTTCTTTATTTGGGACTGTTATTGTCCTCTTTTACTTATTATTTTTGCCTGAAAACAAGTATGCCAAGTTTGATCGAAATCGGTTCAGATATAGCTATAGCTCCCATATATATTGTTCATCCGATTTAATATTTTTGCACCAAATGGGCAATACAAGTCCGAATTTAAAAGATACAAATGCTTATTTAGTCCTTTTAGCCCTCATATAAGTATATCTTTATCTGATTTCAAATTAATTTTGCACCAAATGGGCAATACAAGTCCGAATTTGAAAGATACGAAGCTTATTTAGTCCTTTGAACTTTAAATTATATTTATAATCATAGCGTGCATGATTGAATTCTCCCATAAAAGTTTTAATTGTTATGTGGAGCTCTACTAAATTAGCAAAGTGGTGTAGGGTTTGCCCCTATAGAGTGCTTGCCCTTTGGATCTTTATATAGGGTTTGCCCCTATAGCGTGCTTTGCCCTTTGGATCTTTATATATGTATGCGTTAAAATCAGACCAGGGGTTCTTGAGTTAAAAGAAACTAATTTGTTCTCTATTTTAATATTTTTAATTGTTTTAGAGATTTTGAAAGAGTAATTCTCTCTCTCTCTCTCTCTATATATATATATATATATATGTATAGATATTATATATATATATATATATATATATATATATATATATGTATATTATATGTATATATATATATATATATATATATATATATATATATATATATCTATATATATATATTAAGATATATATGAGAGCTAAAAGGACTAAATAAGCATTTGTACCTTTACATTCGGACTTGTATTGCCCATTTGGTGCAAAAATAATAAATCGGATGAATAATATATGGGAGCTATAGCTATATCTGAACCGATTTCGATCAAACTTGGCATACTTGTTTTCAGGCAAAAATAATAAGTAAAAGAGGACAATAACAGTCCCAAATAAAGAAAAAACATACAATTTTGAAAAGACAACATTACAAGTCCCGTCTGAAAAAGAAACAGATTTTAAAATTCTTTTGAGAAATCTTCTAAATCTTACAACTGCACTCATAAACATTTTCATTTTTTTTCTCCACTTGTTATGCTTTCATTTTACATGAACGAAGTAGCATAACCATGTAAGTTGGTTTTGTCTGTTACAACAAAAACCCTTTTGTCGACCGTGTCTTGTCTATTAATATAACAATTTTGGCTTGTTTGTTCGGTATACCAAAGTATTTTTTTTTTTTTTTTTTTTTTGTAAAATGGACTTCATTAATCCCTTTATTGTTGTTTTTATAAAACAACGTAACGTAATTTAGTTAATTTAAATTATGCCATCGTCATATGAAAGTTTCTAGAATTTCAAAAAGATTTCATGTAATAATTTTGTTATTGATGTCGGCCATCCATTCTACATAATTTTTATCAGCATTTGTAGGTTTGTATCGCCTGTTGGTGTTCTTTTATTTTTATTGACATCGTTGTATGGGTTTTAACTGCATGTACTTAAATTTGCTACGATGTTGTTGATTTCCGCACTATCTTGCTATTATCAGAGAGAAATCAATACCAAACAACTAATGGCCGTTAGAACAGAAAACGTTGTTATCCATTTGTTCAATTTATAAAACATAAAGTTCACTATTAACATACACATTTAATACTTTGTACCATGGTACAATGATATCAAGGTAGGGCTATGATACCATATGATTTCATTTTTTTTTATTTTCTTGGCTTAATATGTCATCTTTATTTGTTTATGTATGTGTTTTTCTTTTCAATAACAAAAAATTGTTCAGAAAACATTCAAATTCGGATGTTTTCAAAATGTTTATTTCATCGTATGCATCGACAAAATCTAGAGTTTTTGTAGCGAAATAATCCTTTAGAGATATATAGAACCTGGTTTTGAAAAGAAGTGGTGACCTCTCATTCAGTTTTCGCGGTCTTCAATTATTTATTCAAAATAAATGCAACAAGTTGTTTGATTTTGTTATTGTTTTGATACTATTTCTGACATTACAAGCCAAACAGGTAGACCTCTATACTTGCAATTATTTCAAAGTTGACCTACCTTCTCTTCATTGTACCATGCTTTGTACATACTTTTTAGTGCGGTTGAGGCGCTGGGAAAACCTAGCTATGTGCAATAAATATTTTAAAATTACATATTTCCCAGCCGCCATAAAATATGACACGATAATGAGTGAGATAATAAAGGTGACCCACACGCACAGATATCGATGCGCTCAGTAGATGTACAAGACCACCAGCCTGGCACCACCAAGACCACAGGTTGGCACTGTATATTCATTTCGACGGGAGCGATGTATAGCATTACGTTTCCATTCTTCTTTTACGAAGAAGCTAGCCGATGACTTAAGCCAGTAAAAAGTTTTGTCTGTTACAACGAAAATCCCTTCGTCGACCGTGTCTTGTTTTTAATAGAACATTTTTGGCTTGTTTGTTCGGGGTACCATAGTATTTTGTGTTTCAAAATGGTCAGCATTAATCCCTTTATTGCTGTTTTTATAAACAACATAACATAATTTAATTATTTTAAATTATGCCATCGTCATATAAAAGTTTCTAAAATTTCATATAGAAATTTTGTTATTGATGTCGGCCATCCATTCTACATAATTGTTATCAGCATTTGTAAGTTTGTATCGCCTGTTGGTGTTCTTTTATTTTTATGACATCGTTGTATGGGTTTTAACTGCATGTACTTATATTTTCTCCGATGTTGTTCATTTTCGCAATATCTGCTGAGAGCATCTGCTAATTTTATTTCAGTGTCTTTCATGTAAACGACGTATGGAGATTATGGCAATACCTAGAGGAGAATAGTCGATGTGGAGCGGAGTGGAATGACTTTTTAATAATAATCTCGAGGGGTTTTATGGTCTGTTTCAATTATAAGATTTTGTTTTTGTTGACATTTTGTTAGAGCTTTGAAGACATATGCCACAGGCTGATAATTTTCTCTTATTACTGTTTACCGTTTTAAAACTTCTTGGCAATGCCTCTATTTTAATTGCATCTACTTTCATGTCATCGTTTTTGTGCAGATCTCAAATTTGTCGAAATTACATTTTTTGCTTGATTTTTATACCCTTCACCAGAGTATGGAGGGTTATTAATCAAGAAAAAAGTGTATTTTCAGCAAGATTGAGATCTGCAGTGCTAGTGAGATGGCTACAATGCAACTAAAAATAACTGCACAGTCATATCGTTTGTAACATCTCGAAATACACATTTTAGACACCACAAAGTATATATTCTTGATCAGCATAAAATTCTTTGTCTATTTAGAGATGTCCGTCCATCTGTCTGAAGTAGGTTGATAACATTTTACTCATATGTATATTATGTCTGCAGGTTTTTTTAATTGAAAATGGGCCATGTATGTCCACGTTTTGGTATAGCCCTTTTACGGTACCTCCCGATATTCGGTAATTTGATTATTTTAGCGACATAATTCACCGCAATTGTCTCAAATTTGGTATTAAAAGTTCGTAATGAATTCTACAGTCTACGACACAAAATTGTCTGTACTTGTCCACGTCTTCTTAAAGCTCCCATACAACGCTACCTTCCGATGATAGGTATTTGATTATTTTAGCGACATTATTCACCGGAATTGTTTCAAATTTGGTATTAGAAGTTCGTAATGGATACTACAGCCAAAAACAGAAAATTGTCTGTGCCCCCATAAAATGGTACCACCCTATATTTGGTATTTTGATGATTTTAGCGACATTATTCACCGGAATTGTTTCAAATTTGGTATTTGAAGCTCGTAATGTATACTACAAGCTATGACAGAAAATAGTCTGTGCAGGTCCACGTTTTCGTATAGCCCCCTATAACGGCTCCTCCCGATATTTGGTATTTTGATGATTTTAGCGATGTCATTCACTGGAATTGCTTTTAAATTTGGTATTTGAAGTTGGTAATGGATACTACAGCTTACGACAAAAAATTGTCTGTTCAGGTCCACGTTTTGACATAGCCCCACATAATAGTACCTCTCTTTATTCGGCATTTTGGTGATACAGATCCACGTCGTCGTAAAGACCCTAATATAACGGCAACATTCGGTATTTTTAAGATTTTTTCTTTTTTGAAAATTGCCAAATTCGTTCCAACTGGTGGAGGGTATTCAAAGGGCCTTCAAGCGGCCGATGAAACCGTCACACGCTGCCCGACTGTTGCTCTGCGTTGTTTTGGCCCAATCCCGTCGAAGCGCTTGCTTGAGGTGATCGACACTTTGGTATTTTTTTCTGATGTCACGGTCGATTAATTCGAGCGAGAAGCGACCATCGGCTGTTATGGCGGCACACACCATTACCATGGCCGTCGCTTGTGTTCTGGTGGCCAACCGAAGGTGCACATTTCAGCTGACCTCTTTGGCAGGTAAACACGATCATTTCGTTCGTTTACAAACTGCTGGACAACGAATGGTTTCTCATGCGAGAAAACCCAATTTGGAAGTTCACAACATTCGGTTAAGCGAAGCAACTCTTTAGCTCTTTTGAGTCTATTTTCTTTCTGTTGCGGTGTAAGGTCTTGCACTTTTTGGAATTTAAATGGCTTTACCCCGAGCTCATTTTTCAATATTTGCCGAATGGAATATTGCGATATGTTTAGCTCACGAGCAATTTTTCGGCCAATGCGACGCGGGTTTCGGTCAAGTCGCTTCTTTATTTTTCGAACCATTTCTGCTGATGTTGCTGTTTTCTTCCGTCCACTTACTTGACGTCGGGCTACGTACGGGTACGAGACAAAAAAGAAAACCATTTATGTTGTTGTATCCAATTTCTCCATGATGTCGATACGTTATTATCTGTTCTTCGTCGAGGGTTTGGGGTCTTTACAAAGGCTGTTATTGATGGTTCACATTTCATATCTATCCCACTCCTGCGGGGTACTGTTGTTGAGTATGAACTGATGTACAATAGTACAATATTAGCTTACGGTTAGTTATGTTTGTAATTCAATGAGGAGAGGAGAAGTATTAATCCAAATTAAAAATATGTGTTTACTGGAATTATATTTTTTTAAGTTATATCCTGGTTCATGACACCGACAAGCCAACAATCGATACCTAAGCGAGTAGAATTAAGAAGGTAAAGTCATGCAGTCATATGTTTACAATTTTTTGACACATTAACTGTTGTCATTTATGTTTGAGGAAAAATAATACATATTTCAATTTGAGAATATGAGAAAGTTTTCTTTGCATCTTTAGAGTTTTCTTTGCAATAAAAGTGATGCTGGCGGCAATGAATCTTTTTGTATTTGTATCGGAAGAATATATTCGATATATTCCATCTCCACACTAAATCTCGTGTTGTTGAACTATTAGGTTATGCAAAATTTTGAGAAGAATCGGATGTTCCTGTGGATGGTGTGCCAGAAGGATTTGTCCATTCTATGTTTTCTTTATACTTGAAAGAAATATTTCAATTTACGAAATTTATTCAAATTCTTGCTCTTTGTGGGGAGGTACTTGAAGGAGTTATCCGAAAATCCTATTCTCTCACCAGGTCATGTGTTTGTAGATGTATTTCGATGCGTAGATTTTGAAAATAGTTTGTTTCTTATTTCGCATTTTTTGAGTGTTATAATTATTTCAAGTTTTGACCCCTTGTGGGGTACATACCAGATGAATGGACCAATGTATCTAATCTTCACACTAGATCGTTTATTGGTAGAATATTGGGTTTAGGAAAGACAATGTGACTCTTACTTCACATTTTATAAAAGATATTATTCAAAATTGTATCCTTTGTGGAGGAGATACTAGGGGGAGTGGGCAGATATAGCCTTTTTCTGAACGTTATCGTTTGAGAGTTATCGTTCTCACCGGATAAAGGACATGGTTTGATTGACTACAAATTAAATGAGACCATTATTTCTATGAGGTACATTTTGGGCGAATCAATATATATATATATATATATATATATATATATATTATATATATATATATATATATATATATATATATATATATATATATATAATATATATATATATAAGACAATGTGACTCTTACTTCACATTTTATAAAAGATATTATTCAAAATTGTAATCCTTTGTGGGGGAGATACTAGGGGGAGTGGGCAGATATAGCCTTTTTCTGAACGTTATCGTTTGAGAGTTATCGTTCTCACCGGATAAAGGACATGGTTTGATTGACTACAAATTAAATGAGAACATTATTTCTATGAGGTACATTTTGGGCGAATCAATATATATATATATATATATATATATATATAATATATATATATATATATATATATATGTAATATATATAGATATATATATATATATATATATATATATATGATATATATATATATAATATATATATATTATATATATATATATATGTATATATATATATCTATATATATATATATATATATATATATATATATATATATATATATTCCCTCTGAAGTCCGTAAGCTAAAGCTATAACAAATGAAAAAAATCTGGTCCCATTTTACTTATTTATTTATTTAAATTCATTCATGTAATAAAGGCCAAAAAAAATTACATTATAATAAGTTCTGAGCAACTAAATTATTACAAAAAATAATCCATAAATTCATAAAACTAGGAAAAAAATTACATACCACTCATTTATTATGAGCTTGAGTTAGAGTTTGGCCCCCAACCACAACTACAAGAAAAAACAGGCTAGAAATCCCAGATAGCAGTAACACAAATTAATGACTTAGTAGTATTATAAAAATCAGCTAGTATTAAAAAATGCAAGAAGTTTTAATTTGAACACATTATTAGAATGCGAAAATATATATTTATATATATATATATATATATATATATATATATATATATATATATATATATTTTCCAAATTCTAGGAATGATAAGGAATGAGGATTCCTAGTGGCGTGGGAAAAGTCAAATTATCTATATGATTGAATAGGCTTACTGTATTTGATAACCTTGTAAAATAAAAATAATTTTCGAAAATCAATATAGTCATGAGAGGAACATCCTAAAAAATTCTTAACAAAGTCTGAAATATGTCTCCTTCTAGGAACATTATATACAAAAGCAAAAATATGTCATCAGCAAACATAAAGGTATGGCAATCTAGAAAATTAGTGTGTACAGGTAGATCATTCACATAGAGTATAAATAAGAGGGGCCCCAAAACGGAACCCTGTGGAACACCAGAATGAAGAGGCAGAAAATCCGATTGATGGTTATTATAACGAACTGACTGGGTCCTATACTCAGATACGAAAAGATAAGCCTACATGCCGAATCAGAAAATCTATATTCATTCAGAAGTTTGAAAATCAATCGGTTGAAGTTTATGGAATTAAAAGCTTTTGACAGATCAAGCGAAATCAGGACACTAAGTTTGCCATTATTTATATCTTCCCGAATGCTATCATTGAGAGACAGAAGTAAATGTGTCGTACTATAGGGTCTGTCAGATAGAATACGTTGTGTCCGTTGCGGCAACGTATTAGACTGACAGCCGATTTGGTTGCTTATATTTTAATGAAGAATGTCACATTCACAACGTGTAAGTTGCCGAAACGGATTAAAGTTGGTCTACTCTCAACTTTTGACATGCGGCAAGTCCGGCACAGAAATCAGCTGTAATTTGTTAATATTTTATGTAAGGTTTTTGAAATGGAATTTTTATTAATAGAAGCGGTGCAGATTCACCCTTGTCTTTTTGACAAAAAAACAGTGCTATATCGCAACAAAATTGCTAAGGAAAAAGCTTGGAGAGCTGTGGCAGCTTCCACAAACGCGACTGGTGAGTTATTTTCATAAATTGTATATTTAAGGTAGATATTGACAGGAGGTATTTTATATTATATTGCAGTCGAACAATGCCAAAGTCGCTGGAGGTCCCTTCGGGACAGATATGTAAAGGAGGTTAACGGAAGTAAGCTTCCGTCGGGAAGTGGTGCAAAAGAAGGTCGTGGATGGCGGTATATCAATGCGATGTCTTTTTTGCAACGACATGTCGCTCCTCGCAGGTAATTACAGAGCTCTGTGATATATTTTTTTGGAGATTCCTAATCGATTTTATATCCCCGAACTTCTTCAAATATGCAATGGTCGAGTGAGGATTCATTTTTAAGTACGCAGTTCGAGAGTGGCGACATATATGGAAGTTCGCAGTTGTCGGGGAAGACGAAACAAATGAAAATGTAGATTCCTTTTGCAGCGAGCTGCCACGTCCTTTTGAGCAATCCACACTACAAGTGGAAAAACGTTGCGATAAAAGAAAGAGACAAGAAGACAGGTTTGATCACCTTGTGACTCTGTGTCTGACTGGATAAAAAAACAGGCAGCACAGAGTCAAAGTCCCCCACCAGTGTCTCATAATGCCGATTTTTTAAGAGTACTAGACGAGTATTGCTGAAGGACTCAGTGGACGAGCAAGATAGAATTAAAATCAAATTGCTCAACATTGTCTCAAATTTAAACAATGAATGAACTTTAAACAATGTTCTTTCTTCTTGCTTTCTTATTTAATAAAATAAATTATTTTTAGTTTTAGTATAATGAAATGATTTATTTTTTAGTAAATTAAAATATGAAAAGAAATACTAAATGTTTGATACATTCTTTCATCAGTATTTTTTATTAAACAAATATGAAGTTACTGCCGGGAAAAATGACGAATTGGATGTGAAACGACATAGCTCATGAGTTCATCCCTTAATTTGAATGCGCATTTTGCTGCATTATTTGAAGCTGTTCTCCTGGCTCTCTGCAAAGGGACAGGCACTTCGTTGCGCCACAGACCATTTATCAATACAATGCGTCGTCTCGGTCGACATATTCTGGCGGACAATAACTGCCATCATGCATTTTGAGGAAATTGTGAAGAAGTACCGTGGCTTTAATAACTTTCTCTGCGGATGCTGTGCTCATTTGTAGGGATGACAACAAAATCCTCCATCGGCTCGCCAAAATACCAAAAGCATTTCTATTACCCTACGGGCCCCGTGACAAACGTTTATTAAATATTTCCTTTTCAGGCGGCAAGTTACTTCCTTAAAAAAATTTTTGTTACATAAAATCGAAGAGGGAAAATATAAATTGCTCATGCAAACTTGGATAAGGTCTAATTAAAAATGGTTTTATGGGAACGCGGCATCTGCAACCGGGTAGTACTTCTTCTTTTGGTAGATCCAATTGGCCCTTATACAACTGTTGACCGAATCTTGAGTTCCACATAACTCCACCGCACCAATATCCACGGAAGTAAATGTGTAATTAGCATCACAAGCTGCCAGAAGGACAATGGAGTAGTTCCCTTTATTATTGTAAACTGGGAGCCAGAGTTCGATGGGCAAGTTAAATTGATGTGCTTGCCATCAATGGTGCCAACACAATTGGGTAAATCCCACATTGTGAAAAATCAATGGCGATTCGCTTCCACTCATTTTCCTTTGGGACTGATAAATATATTGGGCCAAGTATTTCCCAAAGCACTTCGCAGGTTTCTGATACTATTCCTTTCATAGTTGGCACCCCCATTTAAAGGGAGCAGAAAATATCTGCTTACTTCCGCCATGAGCTAAATATCTTAAATTTTATGGAAGTATTTAAGAATGTTATCCGGACTCATACGATTACATGTACATTCATATATATAAGAACTTACGCAAGAAGAAGAAGACGGATTTGTTGTGGCGAGTCTATACTTTTTGTACGTCACGTCAGTCAAATACGTTGCCGCAACGGACACAACGTATTCTATCTGACAGACCCTTATGTCCTGCTCGAAAAGCAAACTGAGAGTCACAAATATAATTAGAACAATGGTCATGATTTGATCCTTAAGAATATGCTCAATTATTTTTGATATAGCTGAAGAATAGAAATGGCACACAAATCATCAGGCTCACAAACATTTCTTGTTTTTGGTATAGGTAAGACTTACGTTCTTTTCCAAACTTGGGAAATGTTGAAGTCATTAAAACACAATTAACCAAATCAGTAATAATTGTGATATATATGGAAAAAACTAATTTTATAAACGTTATTGGAATAAAAATCC